GAGTTTTGTTAGATCCACAAAGATCTTTCAAATGGAAGTCAGACTTCCAGGTTAGCAAGAACACAGAGTGAAGAATACGACGGTGTGTCAGATCCAATGAAGATAAAACAAATGTTTTAAAAAGAAGTACATTTCCACCAACAACTTGGAAATTTTGAGACTCATCTCTGAAATTTTCTAGAAGAAATAAGGGAATTTCTGAGCTTGAAGCTATAAATTTGCTAGAAAAGCTGAAAATTTGAGATTCATCAGAAATTTTATATGTTAGATGTGAACATTTCTGAGTTTCAAAAGTCGATGTTTGACTTTTGAAACTCAGAAACTTCCTCGATTTTTCCAGATTTCTAAAAGTAATTAAAAAATTACGTGGAAATGTACTCCTCTTTCTTTTTTTTTCCTCCTATGTACAAAATGCTCTGATCCAGCGTGGTAGAAAAGCTAGTTGTAGGAACCCGTGGTCTGTTTTTCCTTCATCCTGGTCGTGTGTTCTGATCCGGACGGGTCTTCCTTACAGTACGGTGCACTTCCTCCTCCTGGGCTTCTTGGTGGGCTGGGGGCACAGGACCGCCCTGATGGCTTCATCGAACACCGTCTTAAGGCCGCGCTGCGTCAGAGCAGAGCACTCCAGGTACTTCACTGCACCTGGTTTCAAATAGCAACACAATCCAACTATTAGCATATTCCTCATATTATTCTATAGGCCTGTCACAGGAACTAGTGTTGCTGGATGATAAATTGTGTCAGTAATTATTACAATAAATGATATTATTATTTTGTGGACATTTTCAAGTAATATGTTGATAATGGCAGAATAATGCAAAGTTTGCCCTCTCAAAGGGGGACTTTGAACTTGAACATACACACACACACGCACGCACGCATATCTATATGAAAAGCCAACTTTGCTGCACATAAATCAGATTTTATTTCATTACTATTATTATTATTAAACTTATTAAACTTGGTTAAATATGGCAATGGTTTTGAAAGAAAGTGAACCAAATCTTGTTTTATAACAGAATAAAATTGTTCAACTGAACTTAAAAGAAGTAAAGAAAACTTGATACCTTTCTTTTAATACAGGAAACATAAAAATCCTTTGAAAGTTTAGGATCTACAATGAAAAACATTAATTTCATACAAAAAAGAAAAAAATTGGACCTTTCAATTTTTATTTGTTTTTTTCTGGCCCGTTAGTTCTTCTGTAGTGCCTAGATACATTTAAACAGAAAATACGAGAACCAAAAACTGACCGATTTCTTTTGCCATGGCAAAGCCCTGCACAGTGGTGATTGGAGTTAGTTTCTTCTCCTCCAGAGCTTCAATGGTCTTACTGTCGTTCCTTAGGTCCACCTTGGTGCCCACCAGGATAATTGGGGTTGTAGGGCAGTGGTGTTGCAGCTCTTGAAACCACTGCAGAAGAAAACAGGTTGTAAATAGGTCTGAAAGAATAAAAACATTTTCCCTCCACCTTTTGGTATCTTATATGTTCTTATGTCTAAAACCGAATATAGAAATGTAGATAAACTTTATTTCTCAAGTAGACGTTGGGTCGTGTCAACAACGGCCCTTTTTTCTACTTAGTTGTGAGCAGATGTGAACATCTGGCCTTGTTGCAGAGAGCAGGCTGTTCTTACCTTGGCACGAACATTCTCGAAGGAAGATGGACCAACAACAGAAAAGCAAAGCAGAAACACGTCCTAAGATGGAAGGAAGTAAAATAAAAAATATTCATAAAAGTCTTTTAACACAAACTTTTTACAGTTCAATGTAAACTATTGAAAACTCTGTTGGACTTGTACTAAATGTAGTGTTTTGCAAGTAGTTATGTTAACGCTCTTTAACATTTTTTTGTTTTTTACTTGAACATGTTTTTTTGGACAATATGTGCTACAAAGCAGCATTTACTGTGTTAGAAAAGAAAGTATAGGAACAGTGGTGCCTGAGTTTATTTAGCTTCTGTAGCCAAGGTTCAGATTGCCAAGGTTGTCCAGATGAACACTGAGGTGTTTATATTCCTCAACCTCCTTCTCTTCTTCTCCCGTGATGGAAATAGTATTTGATCTAATCCTGTTCCTCCTGAAATCAACAATTATTTCCTTTGTTTTGTTCACATTTAAGATGAGATGATTGCTCCCACACCATGACACAAAGCGCTCCACCAGATCTCTGTAACTCAGCCTCCTGTCCATCTCTGATTCACCCGACAACTGCAGAGTCATCTGAGTGATTCTGTAGATGACAGAAGTTGGACTTGTGTTGGAAGTCTGAAGTGTAGAGAGTGAAAAGGAATGATGAGAGTACAGAGCCCTGAGGTACTCCTGTGTTACTGACCACTCAGTCCTTCGGTCTCACAAACTGCGGTCTGTTAGTGAGGTAGTCATAGATCCAGGTGATTGTTGAGGCCTCCACCTGAGTCTTCTGGGGCTTCTGACAGAGCAAATCAGGCTGAATTGTATTAAATGCACTAGAGAAATCAAAGAACATGATCCTCATAGTGCTGCCTGCTTTGTCCAGATGACAGTGGGTTTGTTGAAGCAGGTGTATGATGGCGTCTTCAACTCCAACTCCACGACGATTAGCAAACTAGAGGGGGTCCTGACATGAGACATGCGACTCATGAGGGGGTCCTGACATGAGACATGCGACTCATGAGGGGGTCCTGACATGAGCTTGTCTGCTTTCTAAGGTAAGCAGACAAGCTCATGAGTTTCTCCAGGACTCTCCAGGAACTTCATGATGTGGTATGTCAGGGCAACAGGTCTATAGTCGTTGATGACTGATGAAAATCAGTTTTCTTCAAATCAGCCAGCATGTCTTCGGTCTTCAGAACTCTTGGGCTAACACCATCCATACCTGCAACCTTGTTCCATTTTAGTCTCTCCAACTGCCTCTTCACTTGACTTCTAGATACAGAAAAGTGAGAGAGAAAGGGAAGAGAAGGCAAATGGAGCATCAGCATCTCCTGATTTGGTTGAAGGCAAACTTGTGGAAGTAGAAGAGTTCATGACTGAGGTGGAATACAGGACATGTGAGGTCTGATGTTGTTCCCTCTTCACCAGGGGGTTTGTATTCAGAGGAGAGAAAAACAAGATTATGATCCAATTTCCCCAGAGGAGGTCTTGGTTTGGAGACATACTGTATGTATCCTTAACATTAGCGTAAAGCAAATCCAAAATCTTGTTTTCCTGGGTGGAGTAGCTGACAAACTGGTGAAAAGTTGGCAGAGTTGAAGAGGCATGATTAAAATCACCAGATATTGCCACAAATGCATTGGGGTGTTGTGTCCGTATGATGACAACAACAGAACTGATGACATCACATGCATTATCGACAAGAGCTGAGGATGTAATGTAACCAACTGCCAAAATGAACCCTTTTGGTAAATAATATAGTCAGAAACTTACTGCCAAGAGTTCAATGTTTGGTCTGCAGAGAAGACACTTCACAGTAACATGTCCTGGGTGACACCATCTGTTGTTAACAAACACTGCTAATCCACCTCCCCTCTTTTTCCTGCTGCTCTTTAAATCTCTGTCTGCTCGTATAGTCAGGAAGCCTGGCAGAGACATGTTGGAGTCGGGGACACAGTCCTACCATGTCTCTATAAAACACATTATGCAGCGTTCCTTATACTTTTGCTGAGTCCTTGTCAGAGCTTGAAGGTCATCCATCTTGTTAGCTAATGATCTCACGTTGCCCTTGGCGATGGTTTGAATTTCTTCCTTCCCTCTCTTCTCTTTGCTCCTGCTCTGCATCCATGACGCCTCCTTTTTGATTCCTCTGGGATTTCAGGCTTCAGTTGTGGCATTGTTTGAGCTTTTCCAATGTTTATCAGCTGCTCCATGTTGTAAACAACCCTGTTGCTATGGTTACGCATCAGCGAGCAAAAATATGAACTATATTGCAAAAAATCAGTCAGTCTATGCAGTATCCAAAAAAGAAGGAACGATTGTCCAAAACAAGCTATTTTCCTCCAATAAGGCAGAAATGAATATATATATAAAAAAAATAAATAAAAGCCAGAGCTACTCCAACATGCTGCCAGTGGAACAGTTCTAGAATTATGTCATCATATCAATAATGTCAATTATGTCAAAAGGCAGTAATCATTATGTCCAATAATGATAAACCATTATTTGACAATCAATCATAAATCCATTATTTGTTTGCATTCCTACTTGCTACCACTAGTGTGAGCAGACATATTGAACATACACCCACCGTCTGAGGGTAGGACAGAGGTCTGAGTCTGTCATAGTCCTCTTGTCCTGCTGTGTCCCACAGACCCAGTAACACTGGATTCCCATTCACCATTACATTGGCAGAATAACCATCAAACCTGGAGGAAAACAGCAAAACGTTAACTTTCAGCGCAAACTGTCTTTGACATAGTGTTCCACTTATTCTCTTATACTATATCTCTGTATTTGCCTTGTTTACTCAAACTTTACCCAGCTCTCTACTGAATATGAGCACATCTGGTCAGAAGTTGTCGTGGTTTGTGCTGCGTTGGGCTTACACTGTGGGGATGTATTCTCCAGGGAAGGCGTTGGATGTATAACTGATGAGCATACATGTTTTACCCACAGTCCTGAGGGGAGAAATAAGACAGCAGTGAGAGTTATAACTTAATAAGAGTGTCCTCTAATGATGACTGACCATTCTGATGTAGTAAAATTATGGAACTGTCCATGTTTGTCTGTATAATACCCAATGGGTTATACCAATCAAATTGATTTATCAACTCATATTTTCTTCTTCAGGTGAGGAAAGAAATGATTGTAATTCTCTGGTTTTTCTGCCTCACATTAGGAGTCTGTTTACAAGTGTTCTCCTTGGTGAGTGAGAAGGATACCAGTCTGCGCTCTCAAGGAGGGAAGGTTCTGATTTGGTCTTTTTCCACTAGTAGTAACTACGGTGTACGACTCGACTCGTCTGTCTGCAGTTATAGGGTTATAGGTTAGTCACTGTTGCATCTCCAGTCCAGTAGTTGTCCAGATTTCTATTCTACAGAATTGCTCTTTTATATCAAGAAATAGTAAGTAAAGTTTATTTAAAATCACAAAGCGCTGTACAATAGAAATTGACCTTACAACCATACAAAACATGAAACCAACATAGGAAACACAATAAAATCAAGAGATAAAAGCCTGGGAAAATAAAAAATATTGTTAGTTGCTTTTTAAAACCTCCACAGAGTCAGCAAAGCTGCAAGGGACAACTGTTCCACAGCCCTGGGGCCACTGACTGAAACCAA